TGCAAAAGTTGAATGCTTCCTGAAGGCTAAGGAGCTCTGGGATATTGTGATTAATCCACCCCAGGGTCAATTAGCAGCTGCAGATCAATGGAGGCATAATAAGGCACTGGCTTACATTATCTTAAGTGTGGAACATGAACAATTCTTAAATGTAGCTGACTTAAAAACTGCAAAAAAGGCTAAAGTTGAAAAGCGTGTGTGTGAGTGCTTCAGCATGCAATATAGTGCAATTATTGAGGCAATTGTACAGAGCCTGGCTGCTGCCACATGAGAGCATAGAAGAGCATTTGTTCCACATGCAGAAACTATTTGTTGAATTAGAACAGCGGGGAATGCAGATTCCTGAGTCTCAGAAGGTGCTGTTGGTACTAAATAGTCTTGATGAAACGTGGGCCATCATTTCAGCTGTTTTTGAATGTAGACCAGAACAGAAATTAAGTATGGAAGCACTTAAAGCCTGTTTGTTTTCAGAAGAACAAAAATGCCATTTTAGAAAAAGCCATGAGGAGAAATTCCTGAGGTGGGGGTCCAAGGAGCAGAGAGAGCAGAGCAGCAGACTGCCAGTCTGCAGAGATGGATTACATCTCAGCAGAGAATTACCAAGAGGAAAGAACAGGAGAAAAGGAAATGTTTGATCTGTGGAGCTGAAACTCATTTAAAGAAAAACTGTTTACAAGCCAGAGCAATAGAAAATGGACAAGCTACTGTTGCAAAAGTTAGCTATTGTAATAACAGAGACAAATGGTTAATAGAGAGTGGGGCTAGTCAAACAATTGTTAATAATTCTAAATTGTTTTCCAGATTGAATTCAACTGGTGGAGATGCAGTGGCCTTAGCAAATGGAACATCTTTTAGATGTAGCGTTGAACGGTCTTGGGTTCAAGAGTTGTAAGTTTGAGTTGAAAAGTCTGGGTGAAATACAAAGCAATCTTGGTGTAGAGATACAAAACTGAGAAAGGTGGCTACGTTCTCAGACAAAGAAGAAAAATTGAACAACTGTTGGAGAGATGCAACATGAAGGATTATAATTCTGCTCCAACACCTTTGAGCATAGATTTTCATAACACTTTGGGTGAGGACAAAAGTGAAGCCTGTGATCAGGAGATATATCAGTCAGCAATAGGGAGCCTGCTATATCTGTCACAGTGGTCCAGACCAGACATAGCTTGTGCAGTAAGCATCTTAAGTCGCTTTACTGCTGCACCAACTCAGTTGCATTGGATGGGTGTGAAGATAATTCTCAGGTACTTGAAGGGAACTATGAATTTGGGTCTTCAAATATAGGTCTCTGAAGAATTAAAGTTAAAATGTTATGTTGACAGTGATTATGCCAATGATGTGCAAACCAGAAAGTCCAGTTCTGGGTTTGTGGTATTATTTGGAGAGACTGGAAGTCCAGAAAACAAATAACTGTAGCTATTTCTACTGTGGAGGCAGAATGTATTGCTCTGTCTGAACTTAATCATCTCTGGCTTTGAACTATTGTATTGTAGCAGCCTGGATAAAGCATTTGTTAAAAGGTTTCTCCCCCCGGAAGGTATCTTAACATGAAGTTGAATCAATGAAAGTGGGCCCACTGTGGTGATAAGTCTCTGGGGGATTTTCAAAGCCTCTAAGTTTTTATGGTCAGTCCATACTACAAATGGGGTTTTCCTTTCTTCTAGAAAATATTTTCAAGTTTGGAGTGCCCAGCGCACTGCATAGGCTTCCTTCTCCCAAACTGCCCATCTCTGCTCAATCTCATTTAGCTTTTCAGAAGGCGCATGGCTGCAGGACCCCTTGTTCATTTTCCTACAGAAGCACTGCATCCACTGCAACATCACTGGCATCAGCCTGAATGATGGAGGGGATGTTAGGGTCTGGGTGTCTCAGCACTGACTCCACTGTGAATAAGCCCTTAAGCATTTTCAATGGTAAGCATTCCATAGTCTACTTAAGTGGCTGGCTGGATTTGGATTTCCTCCCCCCTTTTGTTTTTAGCAGATTGGTGGTAGGGAGGGCTATCTGGGTAAACTAGGGGATGAGCTGGCAGTAAAAGTTCACAAATCCCAGGAAGGTTTGTAGTTGCTCCCAGGTGTAAGAGGCAGCCAAAAGCAGCTTTCATCTTCCTTTACCTTTTTTTCAGCTTTAATTTATGCTTTAGATTAATGACAGTCATTAAAGCCAACAAAATTATTTATTGAAATCACATTCTCCAGCATGATGAGTATAGAATCCACCGGATGGGTTATTTCAGCCTTCCTGCTCAGATAGACTAGGTCAGAACTTTGGCCACACCTCCCTCAGGGTGTGTCTACCCAGTTTTGACTTAGTCTCGAGGCTCAGTGGGTGCAAAAAATTTGTCTCTCTTAGTTAGGCTAGATTAATTGAATTGGTGTTTCTTCTAATTGGAAATTATTGATTTCAAATGGTGATTGGCTTTTTCTATTGAATTTTGATTCAAATTGGAGTTAAATTTTCACTAAATTGGATAAATTGAAAGCTCAAATTGATTTGGGGCCTTCTGGCTTCTAGCCACAGGCTCCTCTGTGGAGGGCTGTAGCAGTTTCTCTCTGGCCGGGGACTCAGCTCTCTGGCGGCAAGCAGCAGAACCGCGGTTCAGCGGAGCAGCTGATTTTCGGCGTTTGGAGCCCCTAAGGACTCGAACGGGTCAGCGGTTTCCCTTTTTGCCTTTCGGAGGCACAAGGCTTCTCTTGGATCCAGAATCGCGGCAGCAGACAGCCGATCAACCGCAAGTTTGAGAAATTTCTCATTAGTTCTTTCTGGCTCCGGGGTCGGGTTTTTTTCTGACTGGGGCTCCGTTTTCTTCAATTTCCCTGCCTTTGAATAATAGTCCTCCTTGGGAGGCTCTAAAGAGGCACGGTTGCCATTTTAACCACGTGTAAGGCAGGCGGCCGCCACTTTGAAGACAGTAAATACAACGGATGCCATTTTGGGTGTGGCCGAAATGGTCGCCATTTTGAATGGGGCCCTTTTGAACTTGGAAGCCTCCTTTCTTTGTACTGCCTCGGTGTGCCTCACAAGGCTCAAAAGCCTGAACCTTCTCCTGTGGGCCTGACTTGTTGGTCCTCACTTGGGGGGGGAAGTTATACAGGGCTGACCTCAGATCCCTATTGTGAATCATTGGATCCTGCGTACTCCTTGTGATTCTGCACAGTTCGGTTTGGTCCTTGGGGTGAGTTGAGCGGAGGAGCTTATTTAATCCACTTGTTGCTATTAGTGTGTAGCATTTGTCACAGGGTAGACAGGCAGTTCTAGGAAACTGTCTAGCTGTCCCTTGCCATTGTTGTTTTGCAGAGCTAGGATCGGCTTTCCATCTCTGTCAACCAGATCTGCGTCTTGGTCTTCCCCCACCATCTGGATATTTCCTACTCCATATATCTGGATTGCAATGGCGAACAGTTCCTCGCTCCAAGCATCACAGGGTTCCGGGATCCCCCCCTCTCAATCAAAGCGCAGATCTACTGTTTTGGAATCGGGGGGGGGAGAAGGCCAAAACAAAGCACATTTCTCCCAAGGAACCCTCTAAATTGGCCGAGCGAGAGGTTTCGGGGAGACATTTGGCATTAGAGAAGGAATTCTCCAAAGCCCAAAGGCTCAGGTCGTGAACTGGAAATGGTTTCCCCCGCTTCAGTGGACATTCCTATATCTGAACCTCCTGTTGTTCCTTATCATGATGACTCAAGGGCTTGATCTCCTCAGGGGGAAACTGAGCAGGTTGGGCTCCAACGTTCCTCATCATCATCTTTGGCTCACCAAGGACCTGAGGGCACATACATCCCAGCTGAGGTTGGTGCCAGTTACGTGGAACAGGGTGACATATGGTCAGCTCAGTTTCAGTCTTTCATGCAAAATACATTCACACGATTTATGTCTTCCAGGAGTCAAAAGCCTTTTCAACCACCTCTGTCTGTTGCTCCTTCTCAGGCAGGGCGTACCACAATCCCCACTTCGGGTGTTTCTGAGACCTCTTTCCAATTGGGAGAGAAGGAGTTTGTTGACCTGGAATTAGCTGACACGCCCATGTCAGAGGATGAACAGGTGCCAACTTCAGGTCTTTTTGATCCTTCTCTTTTCAGATCTTTACTGTTAAAGGCCATTACTACCATTAACCTCACTTCAGTTTAGGAGGAGAAACCTTCTACCTCCAGTCAGGAGTCTAATCCTCTGTTCACGGAACAGGTGGTGGAGGACAAGCAGATTTCTTGTCCACAGGTTTTCCATACCACAGGGGAGAAACAGTGGTCTTCCCTGGCCACTCCTCTTTCTCCCAACAGTTCAGAGAAGAAACTGTTCAATGTCTCTTCTTCATTTTCTTCCCTTTTTGGAAGTCCCTTCCATTGATACCCCCCTGACTTCTCCGTTTTCTACAGCAGCTATTCCAGGGGATATGGCTGAGGCATTGAAGGCGGACAACAAGAAGTTCGAACTCTCCCTCCGTTGCGCACACCTGGCTTCAGCATGGGCAATCAAGGCCACAACTTCGTCCTCTTTCTTCGCCAGGGCATCGATCATGTGGCTTCGTGAGCTACAGGCAATCGCTCCTCCTGACCAGGTTCAAACACAACAGACATTAGGCAAGCTCGTGACCACTGCTGAGTACATGGCAGATGCCTCTCTTCATTCAACCAGGTACTCCACCAGATTCATTGCTGCCATGGTGGCCTCTCGTAGACTACTATGGCTGAAACAATGGAGAGCGGATTTAAAGGCATTTGTCCACGTCTAAATACAGTGGTACTCATTTGTTTGGCCCAATCCTGGAACCTCACATCATTGAGGGCAAAGACAAGTGTAAAATCCTCCAAGTGGTCTGATAGACAGCCACAACAGGAGTTTCGTAGGCTACCCTTCTGTCCCAGTAGCCCCTGGGAGTGGAGACAGCCCTTTCGGGCAGGGCAGTCCTAGGATTGGTCAAAAGGCTCACAATCCTTCCCCCCCAGACAGGATCGCTCGCAGGACTGCCAAAATACGGGAGCCAGGGGACAGTTCCAGACCAAATGTCCCTTTCAGGGATTGGGGAGCTGACTGTACAGGCGTTCAAAGTGACGCCAGGGAGGACTCTCCCATCGGGGGTCGTCTGGCACTGTTCAGCGACATTTGGGAAGCGACCACCACCGACTCTTGGGTAAGGGAGACCATCAAATACGGTCTTACCCTAGAGTCCTACTCCTTCCCTCCAGACCGATTCATACGATGTCCGGTGTCAAGAAATGCAAACAAATCACAATTGGTAGCCACGGCCATCTCCCATTTGTTAGAAATTCAGGCCATAGAGCAGGTTCCAAAGGCTCAAGAAGGAAAGGGATTTTACTCCATTCTATTTGTGGTCCCAAAAGCCTCAGGAGGATGGAGGGAGATACTGGACTTAAAAGGTCTAAACTACTTCTTGACTTACAAAAGGTTCAAGATGAAGACCCTAAAGTCCATTCTCGCAAGCATCAGAAAAGGGGATTTCCTCTCCTCAATAGACCTCACAGAGGCATACCTACACATTCCCATGCTCCCAGAACACCGCAGGTTCCTTCGGTTTTGTCACGCGCGCCGGCATTACCAATACAGAGCCCTTACCTTTGGTCTATCTTCTGCACCAAGGGTTTTCACAAAGATCTTGGCTGTCTTGGTGGCTCACCTCAGGCTGATGCCGGTGCACGTGCAGTGCTACCTGGACGACATTCTTGTTCAGTCCAGTTCCCTCCAATCGGCACAGTCAGATCTGCAGATCACGATACAAACCCTTCAAGCTCACGGGTTCTCCGTGAACTTCAAGAAGAGTCACACAATCCCCACAAAGCACCTCCTTTATCTAGGGGCGATAATAGATTCGGGGATTTGCAAGGTTTATCTCTCCCAGGAACATTGGGTCAGCACCCAGAAGCTGGTACATCAGGTTCGGAAGGACAAATCAGTGCCCCTGGTACAGCTGTCCCAGCTCCTGGATAAAATGGTGTCTTGCATGGGGATCATCCCGTGGGCCAGGCTTCACTCAAGACGCATCCAATGGTTCCTTTTTCCCTTCCAGAAACAGAACCTCAGTTCTTCCACCAGAAGGGTCAGGGTTCCCCATCACACCTTGTTATCTCTCCTATGGTGGACTTCGTCTACCATGACCAAGGCGACAGTCTTCAAGGAACCTCTCACTCACCTTGACCACAGACGCCAGTTTGTTCGGTTGGGGTGCACACCTCCAAACTCATCTGGCACAGGGTCAATGGTCACGGTCGGACCTAGTTCACAATATAAACTGGATCGAATTCAGAGCCATACATTTAGCACTCCAACAGTTCTCATCCCTAGTGGAAGGAAAACATGTCCTGATTCTGACGGACAATGTGGCCGCCAAAGCGCACGCCTACAAGCAGGGAGGGACCCAATCCTGGTCGCTCAAGCAGGAGGTCTTGGATCTGGGTCTGTGGGCAGAGGCCCACTTGGCGTCCATCAGGGCAGAGCACATTTCGGGGGAGGCGAATCGACAAGCAGACTCCCTGAGCAGGGCCACGGTGGACCACTCAGAGGGCGACTGGACCCGGCTCTGTTCAAGGACATCTCATTGAGGTTCGGACTTCCTCTCGTGGATCTCTTTGCCTCCCTGTCGAACTCCCAACTCCCCAGGTTCTTCTCCAGGTTCCCGACACGGGGAGCGAAGGGAATGGATGCCCTCCGGTGTCAGTGGCCGGAGGGTCTACTTTATGCCTTCCTCCCCTTCCGTTGTTACAGGCTACTATCTGCAAGCTGATTCAGGGAAGGGCGGAGGTAATCTTGATTAATCCACATTGGCCAAGGCATCCGTCATTTGCCGACCTTGTGGATCGCTCGCTCTCACCTCTGTGGAGGATTCCCCCGGAGAGAGTAGCTCTCAGCCAGGGGAACCTTCAACATCCAGATCCACAGTGGCCCCCAGTTGGCCACATGGCACTTGAGTGGGAAAGTTAGCTGGGCAATCCTATTTGTCCGGGGTGATCTCAATGATTCAAGCCTCAGGACGACCCTACACAAATAGGATTTATGATGCCACATGGAGAAACTTCTGCACATGGTGTTCCAAACACAATCTCAACCCACTCTCAGTCACGATTCCCAACATTTTGGATTATCTGTTGGAAGGTCTGAACAAGAGCTTATCGTCTAGTACCATCCGCAGGCGGATCGTGGCCCTTTCAACATTCCTTCTTGTGATAACTGGGGTCCCTTGTCACAACATCTGGCAGTCAGGGCCTTTCTAAAAGGGGCAGTTAACTCCAGACCACCCATGGTGCATCGCTATCCATCGTGGGACTTATCTAAGGTATTGCAGGCCTTGACTTCTCCTACGTTTGAACCTCTCAGTTCTTGCTCTCTTCATTTTCTGTCCTTGAAGGTGGCTTTCCTGGTAACTATCACGTTGGCCAGGTGGATATTGGAATTGGCCGCACTTTCAGTTAGGGCTGATCTGTGTATTTTTTTTTGAGGATAGTTGGTCCTCAGATTGGACCCTCCTTTCATTCTGAAAGTCAATACCCCCTTTCACAGATCCCAGGAACTAGTTCTTCCCAATTTTTGTCCACAACCTTCATATGGAATGGAACGGCAGTGGCATAAATTGGATGTAAGCAGGGCTCTGCGTCACTATATTAAACGAACCTCGGCCTTTCGCAAGTCGGAGGCCTTACTTGTGTCCTTTCAACCCTCTGCCATTGGTCGGAAGGTTTCCTCTTCCACCATAGGCAGGTGGATTAGGGCCTGCATTTCTCAGGCTTATATTTCCCGGTCACTTCCAGTTCCCGCACAAATCACAGCTCACTCGATGCGCAGCAATGCTGCATCTGCAGCTTGGTCCACACAAGCTTCAGTCGAGGAGATTTGTAGGGCTGCGATGTGGTCCTCCCCATCCACTTTTGTTCAACATTACAAGATTGATAGTTTTGCAGCAGCAGATGCTGCATTTGGCAGGCAGGTCCTGCAACAGGTAGTTTCTTCTCAGGGATCATAAGCCTAGACTTCCCCCCCCCCCGTAGGGACATGAGCAGCTTTGGTATGTCCCAACCGGTGGATTCTACACTCATCATGCTGGAGAAGGGGCGTTATCTTACCTGAATGCCTTTTCTCAGCATGATGATGTAGAATCCACACCCTCCCATGAGGTAGTCTAGGCAGGTGTCTTGTTTGTTTGGAGCCAATGCACCGGAATTGGTCAGAGATGCTTCGCCATGTCAAAACTGGGAAGACACACCCTGAGGGAGGCGTGGCCAAAGTTCTGACCTAGTCTATCTGAGCAGGAAAGCTGAAATAACCCATCCGGTGGATTCTACATCATCATGCTGAGAAAAGGCGTTCAGGTAAGAACGCCCCTTTTCAATAATAAAGGCATTATCTTTTCACACATATACATGCACAGGAAAATCATTTTTTAAAAAAGAAACTCATTTGCTTTCTGTGAAATGTGTCCTCGGTTTCTCAGAATCCCATGACAGAATCAACATAAAGGTGAATTACAGTCAAGCCTAGGATGAAAATAGAAAGAAAAAAAATATAAAGTCTTTCCAAGCAGTGCAATCTTGAGCCACTCCATACAAGTCAATTAATTCACTTTTTCCAGCACTTGATACCTTGGAATATTATCAAGGATTAATTAATGTGATGGGAAACTCATTTTGGGAGTTTTTTACTTTTGGGATACATCTATATTTACTTTTCAGATATGCCTTTACAGTAAAACATGTATCCAATTAGTTTTCCCTTAATACAAGGATATATTTATTGCCAACCATGTCTTCAGATATATCTGTGACAAAGAGTCCAGTTCCGAGGACTTCCGGTGATGCGGCCGTAGCACCTGGTTGTGGGATCGCGGACCTTTGCACCCTGAGGCTAGTTTTGTCCTGCCAGGGGACCCTAAATGGGTCTAAATCGCCCCGGAGAGGCGGTTCAGGGAAAGCCTTCTAACCCGACAGGAGAAAGTCTGGCCACACCACACTGACCAGCCCAAGCTACTTGCAGCTGAAGTCTAAAGGCACTAACCAGCACAACAATGAACAGCATGCTTGAAACTGGGTGAGGAATGTTATCTTCTCTCTCCTATTTTATACCCAATTTTCTGGAAAAGATCCCCAAGAAGCAAAAAGTGAGAAGGGGGGGGGATTGCCTCACCCTTCTATAGATGGAAGCGGCGAATTAAATCCTTATGGGGAATAAAAATATAAAATACTTCAGTTTGTTCAAATTTGAAAGCTAAGAAAATTGTTAAAACTCTATACTTTTTGTTTTAAAAAGTTGAAAAATGAACAGTGACATCTAGTGGAGGATTAGAGAAAACTATAGCAACACTGACCCAGAATTTAGAAACAGTAGAAAAACAGCTGGGAACAAGGCATTGAGTTATGTACTATTGAGTGAAACTACATATGTTTAGAAACTGCTGACCTTCTGGGATTATAAACACACTGAACTGCATTCTTAAATATTAACTTAAGAACTGTTTGCAAAGAAAGAAAAATTCTGGCCTTTGGCTAATCTTCTAAAGGAGAAATTACTGGAAAACTTTTAGATGGTCAAATATTTTGAACTGAATCCTAACTGGCTGATAATTATAAGACCTCTGAAAAGAAAACTGCCACAAAATATTGTTTTCAGTGGTGCCTTGACAATTGGAAACATACTGGATTATAAAAACATTATATAAAGACAAGAACTATGTAAGATTTAGCTGTTTGGATTTTAAGATGGACTGACTTGATAAAACTAATTAAAAAGATTATGACACTGATGGAAAACTACCTAGAGGGAGGAGATAAAATGGATATTATATACCTATCTAAAAGTAATATAAAACCATACCTAACACCTCTTCCTTAAGAACCCAGTTTGGAGTTTCAAAGATCTACAGGAACAATGACTCAAGTCAACACAAATATATTCCAGAAGAAAATATACACAATGCTGCGACAGATTCAAATTATAATTGTTTCAAACCATGATATTAGAAATCAGTTTGACAATATAACAAACATATCTCTAACTTAAACCTACAACTAAATAACATTCAAAAAATGACAACAGAGAATGAGCAAACAGATCAGACAACAGAATATAAATTAAATGAAAGTGACTTAAATAGAAAAGCTACAAATGAAGAAAACTACAATTTAATAC